AAGCAGTACAACGCAGGGTATATTGAGCTATAATGGATGATAATCAATAGGAATGTCAAATTTAGAACCCAGAGAAACAACACTCTGATTCTTCGTCTTCTAATTTGAAAAATCAAAACAGAATGACACCCAAAGAAGATTCAAAATCTGGCAATAGAAATACCCAAAAATAAGACGGTGCTAGATCTGGATAATATGACGAGAACAAGAGAAGAAACAGATAATAGATGCTTGAAACGATGAATAACTAGCGAGATCTGATATCACTAGCAACAAACTTCATACCAATGCTCTCCGATTATGCAAGACAACACTATAACGCAGGTACTAAACTCAAAATCGAGACGATAACACCATTTTAACGAATGTGGGGCATAGATCGCGACGATTTATCACTGAATCTGAGAGTAACGAGCCATGAATCGAACGATGGTATCAATAGCTAAGAAATTACCTAATCAAAGCTCGCGGGTTGAATTGCGAAATCCCCTGGCTCTCTGATACCGGTGTAGAATAAGCGAGCAAAGAGAAAAAGAAGATCGCCGGAAAATTAACTGGAATAAGATCTGAGAAAACTGATAGAGAGAGAGAAGCAGAAATTCGAAATTTCTGAGGGAGAGAGGAGAGAAGCGGGGAAATGAATATTTTGATTTCTCAAAATGGTGTTAACAAACACTGTAGCTAAATTGCGTATACACGACGCCGAAATTTTGGACGATTTTAACCCTGATATTTCTTCTGAATTACATTACATCGTCACCGTCAGATTGAGGTGAGTACACGTGTCGTAATCTTCTTACTGTTCTAAACATTTTGGCGCCTTAATTGGCCTCTCAAAAAATTTCAATTGCGTCAAACGGAGACGGTCGTTTATATGTCAAGCTTCCGTTAAACTTTGACGGTCAGGCACAGAGTGTTTGATAAACACCATTACACCGTTAAGAAGAGCCGTCCAAATATCTGGTAACTAGCGTTCATATAAAATTATAAATGTTACTCCCTTTGGTTTTCAGAGATTGATTTTTTAGTCATTTCACACATATTAAAAAATAATTTTTTAGTCATTTCACACATATTAAAAAAATATTTAATATTTACCTTTTTTTATCATTTTGTGAAATAAAAATAATTTAATAACATCACTTTAATTAAATACAAAATCAATCTATTAAAAACAAGAAAATAAATTAAAACATCAATCTATGAAAAACAGAGAGAGTACATAACTGATCATATATAGTATTTGATAGTTTATAGTTATATATATAGTTATATATATACATGTATTTGATAGTTTACCAAAAATACATAATATGTATAGGATAGATTTACAAAAAAAAAATGAGTTGATATGTAGTAGATATGGAATACTATAACCACCAAATTGAGGTTCTAAAACCCTTTGTTTTCTATAAAAATTAGACTAAACATCCTAAAACTATTTTATGCATGTTGAGAGAGAGAGAGAGAGATTATGACAGCCCACCATCAAATCTCTCTTCTAATTGAACCATTCAATTATCATCACAAGTGGTAAGTTGATTAAACTGTTCTCAAATATGATTAAAGTGATAAAATTGGTTTCCTTTTTTTCTTTAGCATCTTCTTGCATTTGATTCAAAAGTGATGCTCATGAAGGAAAGGTCCAATTGCAAGAAATGTTTAAACGTAAAATAAAGTTACAAACTGAGTGAGTGAGAGTCAAGGGGAAGTGTTTTGCTTACCATCTTGATGTTCCTTTCAAAAATAATATTCCAAAATGTCCACGTATCCAAACATGTAAAATTGGTTAAGGGTTTTGTGCAAAAAAAACGCTCAAAGTTGACAATTTTTTGCAATTTTACCCTTCACATTCCAAAAATGCAAAACAATCATATGAAGTCTAAATTAATAGGCAATAAAACCCTTTTTCGTTATTGTCAAGTTTTAAAATTTTGATAAATAATTTATCAAATCGAAGCCTTCGAGACGAGGAGTTCAACTCTACCTTTAGAATTTTAAAAATCAAATGTATTTGATCGTGAAAACGTTTACAATATATACATAAAAGTTATGTTGCCTATTAGTTTAGATTTCATAGTCTGCATTTTTTTTAGCTGAAGGATAAAATTGTAAAAATTAGCGATTTTGAATGTTTTTTTGCACAAAACCCTAATTAAAATGATAGGAAAAAAAACACATCATTAAGTGTCATAACGTGAGGAACGAGATTACGTCATACAGAATCCACAGGGACAAAATGTCACACTACCCAGTGTATTTGCTTTGTAACAAACTAAAAATCCTTTCAAGATTTCGTAAATCTATATACAATTCATGAATTGCGTGCGTAATCTAAACATTTTTAAGGATTTAGACGAATATTATATAGTATCTATAAAAAGACACGCACGTAACATCTCGACTCAATACCTATACGCACGCATGCAAGTATCTTTACTTTATGGAGACTATCGTCTATTATAAACGTATTAAGCTTCAGCATCATAACCATAGAAGACCTCCACTTGATTGCCCTCGTGGGCTACTCTTCCATTCAAATTAGTGAATTACATATCTCAAAACTTTTGCTTCCACCAAATTACTTACTTTAGCTTAGAGATGAAACTAACCAAGCTTTATGTAAGGAAAACAAATACAACTTTAGATAATATATATAAACTTTGTTGTTATAGGGACTTTAAATAAAATTTTAAAACAGAGAAAATCATGCATGCAAATTCTAAATGAAAAGTGATTGCAAAAAAAAATTACATTGCTAATATAAGCTGAGAATTTAAAATTCCATAGTCACTCACTACCAATTACTTTGGATAGGAGTTCTATGAAATTTAAAAGTCTACAGACGATATAAAAAGAAAATTGTCTTCTTCCAATATAATAAAAGAAGCAGATTATAATTTTAATGTTTCGTGAATATATTTGAAATTATTTGGTAAGGAATCGTGACTGAGTAATGTTTTAAAACTTGTATTATAATAATGAATACATATGTAAACATACATCCAATCAACAAATGAAACAATCCGATTAATTCAGTAATGTTAAAGCAAAGGGAGGAAACAAAAGGCTATGATTAGTCCAACAAGAGGGGCTACAAAAAAAGCCACGAGACATGCAAATGCAATCACGCATCTTAAAAAGCAAGCCCAAGTTTTGACTGACAAGCAACCACGACGCAGTAAAGTGGAGTTCTCAAAATTAGCGCATATATAAAGTACTTGAACTATGTGTGTATGTTTCCAATAAAATTCTATAATGACTGCCAAAATGCAATTATTTTTGTGGATATATCGTATATATCTTTTTCTAACAATTTTTATTTTATTTTATTCAATATATGAGGATATCTAAGATTAAAGTTGCAAAGAAAGAAAGGGAAGAATGTGAAGGAAAATAATTGGAAAAATGAGGGGACAGAGAGGAGGCGGAGGCAGTAAGAAAATAAGAAAGTGAGGAAATTGTAATTTGTAGTGTTGTTAGGGAACATCTCTCCTTTATCCTTTTTCTCTTAATTTTTCTTTTGTTTCTTCAATGTTTCTCTATAACTCAATAGGTTCCAACTTCCAACTAAGTCCACCTTTTCCAAACTGAAATATCGAAACCTGAATAAAGCAAGGGGAACCAAGCCGGTTTCAACTCTAGTGCGTCTAAGTCTCTAATTGCTTAAACTGAATTTGAATCCGAATATCTGATCTTACCCCTGAAAAACAAAAATTTTGAGCTTAATTTTATTACTAGTATTGAGAGCATCTAAAAATTAAAATATATATATAAAAATAGCAACTATGATTAAAATCTCAGACTGAACAGTCTGAACTCTGAACCAAACTACGCTATGCTTTCTTTTTTTTTTTTTTTTAGCTACACTATGCTTGCAAGTTGCATGTTGTTTTATTTTGTAAACTATGAAATTTATTACGACAAAGTGTGATTCATGACATTGGATTTTCAGAGAAACTAGTTTCACCATAAGGCACGCATCCATCAAACTTTGATTCATTACATTGAATTTTCAGAGAAATTAGTTTTACCATAAGGCACGCATCCATTGTACAATGTACATATATGTTGTGTTTGAGGGAGTCCACGTGGAAACAAAAGTGCCACGTGGGGAATGACAAGAAATGTAGTCGTTGGTCGTTGTGTCGTGAGTGTGTGTGTGTCTCCTTTTCCTCGTGCTTGCAAATGTGAGAATTGTGACGTCTCCTTAAGTTCCATAGACAAAGGAACTCTCATTAGGTCCTCTCTTTAAGGTGAACCATTCATTACTCATGCCCCCCTCTTCCTTCGCTTTTTTTTTTCTTTTTAACTTTAACATTTTCTCTATTTATTTAGTTATAAGTATTACCTCTAACAACTTCTCTTCTCGCTAATATATTACGTATGATTTACATCATTACATACAGTGGCATTTTTGACAGGTTTGGAATATATGGTCTGCTTATACCGATTAGGCGATTATGGCAGTGCTTAACGTAATTTTTACATCATCTAATTGGTTTATTAGAAGCGTTGCATGAACGTAATTTTTTTTGCATGAACGTAATTATAAAGTAAAAAATGAAATTTATCAAAGACTTACTTATTGGGTTTTGATTATTATCATCATCTGGTGGAACGAAGTCACATTGTTTTATGTTTAATAAGGACGTGGACTCGAATCATCGTAGGCTCAAACATTTGTCATACTTGCATAGTTGCATATGATGGGTCCACAGCTCCACATCGTTATTTTCGTCATAATTTTTGTTAAACAGAAGTACAGAACTATACCTAATTAACTTAAGAAAGAAGTTTTAATCCGATTATTAAGCAAGCATTCACCTTAACACTTTTTATAAATAATTTGTTCGATTAAAATGTTAAGTGTATATATCGAGGTTATATGAAAAAAACTTTATTAATTTTGGAAATAGGGGAAGTAAAAGTAGTTCCACAAACGCCTCAATGCGCGTCACAGTAATCTTTCATGCATCGAACTTGATAGGGCTCAAAAATCAAATAGATATATTTTTAATGTTGAAAAAAACAACATATGTTTTTTTACATGTCATCTAAATTCTTCTGCTTTCTCTTTGAAATGTACAGTAAATCAGAAATTGGTCACTGTTAATTTATATATTTATTTGAACTCAAAGTTTTGGTATCAAATAATGTGTACGTCAATTAATTTCATTTAAACTCTTACATTTAAAGATTAATTAGAGAGAAACCCGAACCCACAAAATCATAACCAACACTTTGATCGAATCACCATTTGACACGTGTTTCTGTCTGCTACACTAACAACATTTTTAGCGGACGCTGTCTCATCATTCCACCGTAGCTTTTTTTTTTGTGTATGAATTTTGAACAAAAATACGAATTAAGACCATATCAATTTTTTATTTTTTTCGCCAAGACCATATCAATTATAAAAAAAAAACCTAGTTTTATCTTCTATATAAACACGCACGTACAAACCAAGCATGGCGGCTCATTACTCATTTGTCTCAACCTTAAATTATACTATAAAAAAAAAGAGAGAGAGAGAGAGAGCTAAAGATATGGGAAGAGGGAGAAGTTCATCGTCTTCGTCGATAGAGAGTAGCAGCAAGAGCAACCCATTCGGTGGTTCATCAAGTACTCGGAACCTAAGCACGGACCTGAGGCTCGGACTCAGCTTCGGGAAATCCTCAGGGACTCAATATTTTAACGGTGGTTATGGATACTCCGTTGCAGCTCCGGCGGCAGAGGAGGAGGAAGAAGAGAACGAGTGTCACAGTGTAGGGAGCTTCTACGTGAAAGTGAACATGGAAGGAGTTCCAATTGGAAGAAAGATCGATTTAATGTCTCTTAATGGCTACCACGACTTGATCAGAACCCTCGATTTCATGTTCAACGCATCCATTCTCTGTAAGTTATATGCAATGCATAATTATCATACATTCTATATCTATACATAAGTCTATGTCTATATATATAGCTTCGAGGAATCCGCTGATAATAATTAATAAAACGTTGCCATATCAGATTGGTTTATATATATGTCTTAGCAAATTTCTAACGATATTTTTTCTTTTAAGTAAAAAATAAAAATGAGCAGAAACAAAATACTTCCGCCCATTACTATTCTCTTGTTTGAAGGTTAATATCGCCGTAATCGCCCATCACTATGTCATAGGTTTTTTTGTTTGTTTGTCATTTTTGGATAACATTGTTTGTCAGATTTCTTATTCCATAGGTTAGAGTTTATATATATTGCGTAGTGTGTAATGGGTAAATTGTAAAAATGATGAAAACTGATGGCAATTGAAAAAATGAAAACAGGGGCTGAAGAAGAAGACATGTGCAACGAGAAGAGTCATGTGCTAACGTACGCAGATAAGGAAGGTGACTGGATGATGGTTGGGGATGTTCCTTGGGAGTAAGCACTCTCTTAATTCCTTATTTTTTAAAAAAGTTTAATTATTCCCTTAGTTAGATTGTTATGTAGAAAATTATCATCCTTAATTTTTTTTTTTGTTTGTGGGTTAATTTGTTTTGTAGGATGTTCTTGTCTACTGTGAGAAGACTGAAGATTTCAAGAGCTAATTACCACTACTGATATATAAATAAGTCTACGTACTTGTGTTAAATCGAAGTAATGCCAAGAAAGAAGTTTTTGTCGGATGTAATTAATCAATCGTCGGATATTTATTATACTATTTTCGTTTTTCCTATGTGATAGTACATAAATCTTGAACTCACTCTGAGTCTCTGATTATTCTCCTGTCCTCATCTCCTCGGTAATACACAGAATATAGCAACAACAACAGAAAAACAATTATCCAAGAAACAAAAATTAGAGGATGTACTTTTTTTTTTTTTGAGCAAACAAGGATATACTTATTATGTAGTTCAATTTTAGAAGTCAGAACATACTAGTAGTAGTCAAGAAAATTGAGCCACAAATTAATGTCAAAACCTATGTCAGACAAACAAAACTTCTAAATTTTAGAAGACTTTTTGGATTTTATTATAGATTTGACCACCTTTGATACGATGACATTTATACTATATAAAAGTCGACGCTATAAGTTTTTAAAACTGTCTACGTAAGATCATAATATAAATTTAGTATCAAAATAATAAAACTAAAAAAAACAAAAACAAGAAAAAAAGCTTTTAAAAGTCCGAATTAAAAACTTGAATACTAAATCTACATAACGATTTGAAAACAAGTTGAATATTTGTAATCTCTAACGACCAATGCGGATTCAAAATCCGGTTAGATATCATATATCATTTTGTAAATTTAGTATCATAACAATTAAACTAAAAAGAAACAAACACAAGAAATTTTTTTTTAAAAAAAATCCGAGTAAAAAAATTGAATACTAAATATATACATAACAATTTGAAAACAAGTTAAATATTTGGAATACTAACGACTAATATTGGATCCAAAATCTATTTAGTTTTCATATATCATTATCATTATCATAACGATCTAATGTTAAATTTGTTTTAAATTTTATTGAAAATCATTATTATGTTTTAAAAATGAGTTTAAGTGTTAAATCTATATTACGTAAAACGATGCCGAACTTCGAACACCAAACTTACGGACCAACTAAGGACAAAATGCCTAGTCTCGGTTAGTTTTCGACGTTTTAAAAATTTAACACTTAAACTAATTTTTTAAAAAATGATAGTGAAATTAACATGATTTTAATTAAAAAGATTATTTTCTTAAAGTTTAATTGTTAAATTTATTTTAAATTTTAGTGAAAATTATTATTATTTAAAAATAAATAAATTTAAGGACATGATGTTTAGGCGCGGTTAGTTTTCGACGTGTTTAAAATTTAATTTTCGACGTGTTTAAAATTTAACACTTCTACTAATTTTTAAAATAATGAAATTTCATGGTTTATTCATAAAGCTTAAGTGTTAAATTTTTTTAAATCTTAGTGAAAATCATTATTATTTTTTTAAAATGGGTTTAAGTGTTAAATCTATATTACGTGAAAATATTGCTGAACTTCGAACACCAAAGCTTACGGACCAACTAAGGACAAGATGCCTAGGCGCGGTTAGTTTTCGACGTGTTTAGAATTAAACATTTAAACTATTTCAAAAAAAAAATTAATGAAATTTCATGGTTTTTTTCTTAAAGTTTAAGTGTTAAATTGTTTTAAATTTTACTGAAAATCATTGTTATCTTTTAAAATTAGTTTAAGTGTTAAATCTATATTACGTGAAAATATTGCTGAACTTCGAACACCAAAGCTTACGGACCAACTAAGGACTGGATGCCTAGGCGCGGTTAGTTTTCGACGTGTTTACAATTTAACACTTAAATTAATTTTTAAAATTTTTAATGAAATATCATGGTTTTATTTTTAAAGTTTAAGTGTTAAATTGTTTTAAGTTTTATTGAAAATCATTATTGTTTTTTAAAAATGAGATTAAGTGTTAAATCTATATTACGTGAAAACATTACCGAACTTCGAACACCAAAGCTTACGGACCAACTAAGGACAGGATGCCTAGGCGCGGTTAGTTTTCGACGTGTTTAAAATTTTACACTTAAACTCATTTTTAAAAAACATTAATGAAATTTCATGGTTTATCTTAAAGTTTTATTTATTTAAATGTTTTAGTGAAAGTTTTAAACTATTTAATATTTGTTTTACTTAAAATAATATTTAAAAAAAAAAAATGATAAAAGTAATACCTAGTTGGATTTGGTAGCAAAGAAGGCCCATTTAAAAAAGCCCATTCGAACTTGGAAAATCTGAGAAGCTTCGTCTTTGATGATTGCTTTCTTCCTCCACCATCGTCGTCAATGGAAACGAGAATCCTTTGATCTCCTCTCAGTCGTCTCTCTCTCGCAATCTCCGCCGTCGCTGTCGGTCTCAGGTTTCATCTTAGTCGAAGAAGAATCAGCATCAACTTCCATCACGCTCCTCTTTTGTTTGGTCTGGTTGGTGAAGATTTGGCGAAGAGCGACGGCAAACCAACAAATCAAGCATCGAACAAGTTGGAGCCATAGATGAAAAACTCATGAAATTCGATGAAATCAAAGAGAATAGAAGTAAATTGAAGAAGAGAATCGTAAAATCAGAGAAATTGCATCTTTCTTGCTATATAACTCTCTCTCTCTCTCTAATTTTCTCGTTTCTCTGGTTTGTAAACGATTACACATAGAGAAGAGAAGGCTCGATATGATACTCTATATTTATAGACTTATGTGTTTCCTTTTTCACTTTTTTGTGTTGTTTCCTTTTTTTTTTTAACATAACGGTCAAGAAAGCAAAGTATCTAATCGTATCTTCTAATATACAACGGTCGTATATACTCTTTTCATGTTGTGTTTCCTTTTTTAAAAACAAATCTTCGGTATTGTTTCCTATTTCACTTGTGAACTGGCGATATATCAATACAATTGGTTTTTTTTTGTGGTTATGTTTTTCAGGAAACCAATGCGTGTAATTGGATCATGTTGTAAGAGTAACAAGTTCTTTTTGTGGTACATGCACTTCGTACATCACTTTCATGGCGAGAGAATCTGAGGAAGAAGATACTCTTGTCGAGTATCAAGCCAAGGTTGCCAAGAAATTAACACGCAAGTCTTACCCTATTTTCTGCCGGCCATGTCCCAAGCTAGATCAAGATTTGTAGTCTACATCAATTTTGCTTTATTTCAAGGTCATTTTTGCTTTTGTATTTCTTTAAAATTGTAACTAGGTACTAACCCTTGCTACATCCAAAAGAAAATATGAGTTGTGGAAAAATAAAATTTCGTCAACTAGCAATAAGATGTTATCGTCATAATAAAAATGATATTTTTGGATATTCTTGTTTTGAACACCCAATGTCAAACTGTATTTATACATTACACTACCCCAATAATATAAGAGCAAAGAAATTACTCAAAATAGAAGAAAGACAACAACGATAATATTACAGGGGCCTAATTGACAAAAAAATAAAAATAAAAGGGCAAAAAGATAATTAATTTAAGAAGCTGCGGTGAGATGAAGCTGAACTAACGAAGCATAAACTCCGTCTTTGATATTTATCAAAGTGTCGTGCTTTCCTTTCTCAACGATGACGCCGTTCTTAACGACGGCAATTACGTCAGCATTTTTAATCGTCGATAACCGGTGAGCTACCACAATTGTAGTCCGGTTTACCATAACCCGATCAAGCGCGTCTTGTACCACGCGTTCAGACTCAGCGTCAAGAGCACTCGTCGCTTCGTCGAGTAGCAACACCTTTGGATCCTTGACGATGGCTCTGGCTATGGCTACTCGTTGCTTTTGTCCACCTGATAACTGAATTCCTCTTTCTCCCACCATCGTATCATAACCCTAAATCAGTTAAGTAATCTCCGGTTAATTTGACCTGACCCGAGAACCCATTGATTTGGGATCTGGAGAATTAAGAACCCTAAAGGTTGAGTTTTTACCTGTTGTAGACCACTGATGAATCCATGGGCGTTAGATAATTCAGCTGAAGATACGATTTCGGATTCACTCGCGTCTCCTCCTTTGCCATAAGCAATGTTGGCTCTAATTGTCTCGTTGAACAAGATTGGTTCTTGGCTCACAAGTCCCGTTTGTTGTCTCAGCCATTTTAGTCTCAGGCTCTTGATCTCTACACCGTCAAGAGTGATCTCACCGGAGTCCGGATCGTAAAACCTCTGCAACAATGCGATCACCGTTGATTTCCCGCTCCCGCTTTCTCCGACCAAAGCAACTGTCTGGAATGTGAAACAGAGAAGAGAGATTTACTCAAAGGTTCTGCCTTTTTTCTCAAAGAATGAAGTTTTTGAAATCCTAACCTTTCCCGCTCGGATGCTTAGACAGAGATCTTGGAAGATTTGAACATCTGGTCTTGCTGGGTATTTGAAACTAACATGACGAAGCTCAATGTCTCCTTTAACATTGTCCAACACTCTTCCAGATTCCACACTTGGGTCAATCTTCGATTCCCTGTCCATAATTGCGAAAATCGAAGCAGCAGCTACATCGGCTTTGCTGGAATCAGGAGATAACGAACTCGATTGAGATATCGCCATAGCCGCCATTGTCAAAGCAAAGAAAACCTGCATTGTTAAACATCACAAGAATCAAGAAACTCTGAAGGAAAGGCATTTATCATCAACCTGTTGTGTGTTTTGTTTTCGTACCCTGAAAACAGAGTCGAAGGTTGTTTTGCCATCATCGACAAGGCGTGCTCCAACGTAGAAACTGGCAGCATAAGAAGAGAAGAGGACGAAGAAAGAGAATCCGAAACCAATACCACTGACTATGCCTTGACGAATCCCTGTCTTCATCGGACCTTCACATTTCTTGGTGTACATGTTCATCACTTTGTCTTCTGCACAGAATGAAGCAACGGTTCTTATGCTCCCAACCGCGTCATTCGCTACTTGGCTTGCTTCCCCATACATTTTCTGCCAATGATTTAAGGTAATTTTAATCGAACGAGAGAATCTAGTTGGTATATGTATGACAACTCGTAACTAGTTTACCTTTGCATCTGCGCTGAAACCTTTCATGAACTTCATATATAGAAATCCATTGAGTGCAATAAGCGGGAGCATCGCGAGGACGACGAAAGCTAATTGCCAACAAGCCAAAAACGCAATGATCAAACCAGCCAATATAGACGAAAGATTCTGAACTGTCTGAGCCAAAGAGTCTCCAACTAGACCACGGATTGTTGCTGCATCTGCTGATAGCCTTGCTCCTATGGTTCCACTCGAATTCTCTGGCTCGTCGAACCATCCAACTTCCATGTGAACCACTTTCTCAAAACACATACTTCTGATCCTCTGCACCAGTTTACATCCAGCTATGGCGAAGAAGAAGGTTTGTGCTGGGTATGCGATGATGGATGCGAAACCAAGAACCATGAATATGATTGCCCAAAAGCTTGTATCCTCTTTTAGCTTTTTAGGTGGTTGGAAAAACGCTTTGATTACGCTGGAGATTAGTATGCCAAAAATTGGAAGAATAACGCCATTTGCTGCTGCAGATATTGATCCGAGTATTAGTACCGGAATCTCTGGTTTGTTTAGAGCAGCGATTCTGAAAATGGAGACTTTTTTTGGTTCGGTTTTTGGTTGAGTAGTATCATCTTCTTGATCTTGAGCGACGTTTCCGTCAATTCCTGCTGGAAAACCAAACATATTGAAAGAATGGCGGCTGCTGTTTCCTCTGGATGATCCTCCTTTGCTTAGAGACCGGCCTAGAGACGATTTTCTCAGACTAGATTGTTTGAATGATTCAATTGATGACATCTTTTGCTCCTCCGTTGCAGTCTCATCAGATTTCTTCTCTTCTTGTAGACGAATCAGCTGAGAATAAGCTCCTTCCGGGTCCTTTAGTAGTTCAGTGTGAGAACCTATACATTAAGTTGGCCAAGTCAAATAAAATCACACACACATACATTTATGCAAAGATTGTATAAGAATCTCAATTAGTTTACCTTTTTCGACAATCTTGCCTTGGTGAATCACAGCGATCATATCCGCATTTCGCACAGTGCTTAACCGATGGGCGACCACAACTGTAGTCCGGTTAACCATGATTCTATCAAGCGCTTCTTGAACCACTCTCTCGGATTCTGCATCAAGTGCGCTTGTAGCTTCATCTAAAAGCAAGATTCTTGGATCTTTTAAAATAGCTCTAGCCACAGCGATTCTCTGTTTTTGCCCACCTGAAAGTTGAGTACCGTGTTCTCCAACCATTGTATCCAGACCCTGTGGAAGCTTATCCACAAATTTAGATGCATTTGCTAGCTCCGCAGCGGCCTTAATCTCTTCGATAGTTGCGTCTTCTTTGCCGTACGCAATGTTGTCTTTGATGCTTGCAGTGAACAAAACTGGTTCTTGACTCACAAGTCCAATCTTGCTTCTAATCCATTTTAGCTGAAATTCTTTTAAGTTGATACCATCTATGAGAACTTCACCAGTTTGCGGATCGTAAAACCTCTCAATCAGACTCACAACAGTTGATTTCCCGCTCCCGCTCTGTCCAACCAAAGCCACTGTTGTACCACTCGAGATAAACAGTGAAAATCCGCGGAATATTTGCTCGTCGGGTCTTGCAGGGTAAGTGAAGTAAACATCTTTAAGCTCAATATCTCCCTTAATGTCATCCAAAACTTTACCATCTGTACTATAAGAATCTATGTTAGGTTTTCTCTCAATTGTCTCAAACATTTTGAAAGCTGCGGCTTGTCCAGCTGCAAATGCGCTTAAGCAAGGCGATGTTTGACCTAACGACCTAAGGAAGGAAGAAAAAGATATCTCAAATTAGTTTGCAGGGAAGTTAACAAACCAAAGAGGCATTGTTAATGAATGGTCCTTACATGGATCCAGTTAAAACAGCGATGATGATATTGAGAACTTGTCCTCCTGTGTACCCTTTATCCAATATCAACTTTCCTCCATACCATACCGCTAAAGCGTAGCTACAAAAGACTACAAGAAAGAGCGTTCCAAGACCCAATCCAGTTGAACCACCTTCAATGACTCCTGCTTTATAAGCAGTGACAAGATGTTTATTGTAATTGCTTATCGCTTGTTTCTCTCCTGTAAACGACGCAACCTGCAAAAATGTAGATAGTAAGTCTTTATTGTTTTCGTATTTATGGCTAAGTAAAAGTGTATAAGAAAGCCTAAATACCGTTCTTATAGAACCAATTGTTTGCTCAACTACAGTCGCAGCTTTCGCGTAGGCAGTTTGTCCACGAGAAGCTGTTTTAGCAATGACAATAGCCAGAAGTGCACCCGCCATTACAAGAAGAGGAATTGAAGTTAACATAACCAAAGTTAGAAGCCATCCTCTTACGAAAGCTATCACAAAGCCTCCTACAAATGTTGCAAGAAGTTGTATAGCTTTTCCCACCTGCCAAAAACGTCGTCGTTTTAACAAATATAGTCTGAAACTTTAGAACGGTTTGTTGACTTTTTTTTTGGTAGCTACCTTCTCTCCCATGGCGTCTTGGATTAGCACAGTGTCACTGGACATTCTTCCAACAACTTCTCCGGTATTTGTATCGATGTCGAAAAAGGCAATATCTTGTCTTAAGATTGTCTTTAGATA